TTTTTTTTTTTTTTTTTTTTTAAAACGGTGCTTCATCTAGGACTAACACCCAGTTTCCCATAACAGTGTGCAACCCGTACAAAAATAAAACCATTATCTTAATAACACAAAATTGTATCAGTAGCTTTTCTGTACTGACAGAGTTCTGTTTTACAGTGAGGGAGGAATGGCCAAAGTCAGATCCACAAAGTTATCTGTGTCACATTACTTTCAATATGGAAGTAAAGAGAATTTATAGGTCCCACAACAAAAAGCTTCATCTGGACGCAAGCAGCTTGTCCACATTCAATGTGGGGACTTTTAGTCTCAATGGGATATCTCTACATGTTAAATGTGAGAAAATCAGACCATTCCCTATAAAGTGGTTTTTCCTTCAGACTTCTGAATCAATGGAACAGACAACTTGGCAATCTCTGGATGCTCCAGTTAAATGCTAAATTTTATTTTACTAGCAGGAAGTGTTATTAAAATAAACTTGCTTCAAAATGAATGGGTTAAGAATATGCAAGAGGCAAGGATTTGTGTGGGTGATATCTTTTATTGGACCAACTGTATGGTTGGGATAGATTTAGACAACAAAAGGAATACATTGCATTCAAAAGCAAGTCTGAGACAAAAGAAAGCAGAGCAAAGATTAAAAATAATCTACAGGCTTTTAACAGAAAATAAAAATAAAGACCAAACATTTTTCCAGCGGGGACTGTTTAAGTCTACCACCATTTACAGACACAATCAACTAAGAGATTAAAAAGTGACGAGAAACAAAAACAAGAGAAATACATCTCAAGCTTTTAAAAGCTGTTGGATGACCAAAGACTATAGCGGGAATTTCAGGGGGTGGAAAATGGTGATTTTAATATACTTTTCTTTCCTTTGAATAAGTCCACAAAGCACAGCCCTCCATGCACGTGCAGCAATCCTACTCCACCCAGATACCCTGTCATGCACTGTGCTGATGACATCAGTAGCCACTCTGAGCAGCACTGGAGCAGGTAAATCACTCTATGGGAAAAGGCAAGTCTTTCTATGAACTACTGAGTAGTCATCTGAAGAATACACTAAAAAAAGCCAGAAAAGTGTCCATGGGGAAAAACGAGTCTGACTTTATTAAACAGTCCCTGCTCCAAAACTTCTCATGGTTCAACAAGTTGAAAAAAAATAAATAAATAAAACAGGTTGTTTCTGTATGCACTACACGAACGCACACTGATCACACACAGAGCTCATGTTATAAGCAGAAGCATTTCTAATATTAAACAGGTCACCAAAACTGAAGGAATGGAGGAATATCTTTTATTTTAATTATTCTTTATATGCAGGTTACTAAGGCATTCATCACTGTAGTATCTTTTGCTTGACTGCCATCCATAACAACCAAAAAACAGCACTGTGCAAACACATAGCTGAATGGTACATATATGTATACATTACTAAACATCACTATTTTAATACACAAAAAACGGCATGCATCATGCTCTAGCACATGTCCTTAAAATGCTATGCCAACATACATCTACAATTTACCAAGACACTTCATATTTTAATAATTATGTCAATTTATTTAAACTATGAATGTTAAAATTTAAAGGGAAATCCAAGTTATAAACTTAAATTTTTCTCCATGTTAAAATTTGTAATCTGACAGGGGAATCGTCACCCAAATATCTTGCTCTGAGAACCCATCTCATTTCATTAAAAAACCCTATCTACATCTTCCCTACAGTTCAAACACTGTGCTTTCCAGGCTGATTGCATCAACAGCTAACTTGTATATGATAACACCAATCCCAATTGATTGTAGCAGTACACAAACATATTTGGAAATGAAAATGCTTTATAAAATGATGAAAATTAAAATTCACCTATATGAATTTCAGTCTCATACAAAAGCCCTCAAATCAATGTTAGCTAACAGCAATGGCTAGGAAACCATGCAGAACAGCCTTTCAGAAATGTTATATTTAAAAAAGAGAAAATTCCTTCAGTTAAGTAGAATTATTTTTATTTATACAAAGTCATCTAGCATCACCATAAAGCAAACTGGCTTAGAAAGGGCTTTATAGCTGACACCAGTCCTCCAACATTTTCAAACTCCTGTGGCAATGAAGCTTGAGAAAAGTTCAAAAGTGACAGGGTACAGGGCCTTTTTTTTTTATATATGATGATCAGCATGGACTATGGACATTCCAGACACAATGCAACTGAACCTCTAGAAGGGTGGCTAAGAAAAATGAGAAAAATTAGTAGGACTGGCAGTTTCAAACGTCAGAGGAAAAGACTGGTCAATATCACCATGTCAACTGGTCTTTGGAATGGGATGAGGAATAGCAAGGAAGAACACGCATTCAGGTGTCAGAGGGAACCCAATATTTTACAAGATAAATGTTTTCTTACAAAAGTTTTAGGACAGAACAAATTAATATATACAGTTACCTCTATACTAAAATAACCTCTGTCTACATAGTCACCAAGGAAGAGGTATCTTGTGTTAGCAGGTGATCCTCCCACTTCAAACAGCTTCATTAGATCGAAGAACTGGCCATGAATATCACCACACACTGCAATAAAAGCATTGTTTAGAAGCACTTACGTATGGGAGGGAAGGGGGATGCTAAATTAAAATTCCAGCTACAGAATACTTTTCAAAAGGGAACAGGCAGATATAAGTAAGGGGCACCAGAAGTTGTTGGTAATAATGAATTTCCCTCTTAGCTATTCTCTTTTTCTCTAGATGTACTCACTTTGATACTGCACAAATTAGGGGGCACTTTCAAAATAATCTAAGAGATTTATCATTAAGTCCTATCAACTACAAGGTTATAAGAGTCACTGTTTCCCAAACTTTGCAATATCTCTGAAAATCTTCCCTATTGGGTATACTTTGGAAGACTACAATTATGCTATATTAGTCAACAATGTAATGATTCCATACTGGATGCAATTCACATTTGACAATACATCTGTTTTTGAGTCAGTCATATTTTGTAATTTCATCATAAACCCATTTTGCTGTCATACACTAATCTAAACATGTGCTTAGTTGCTTATTTGTCTCCTACAAACCATCATGTCCACTATTTCAATATTAGGTTTTCCTCATACTTTTGGAGTTACAAAGCAAGAAGAATTTTTCCATCTACAGGAAAGTGACTTAGCTCCAAGCATCTGAGGAAAGCCTCATTTCTTTCTTGCTCCTAGGCAACTTGACAGGCTGTTTCCAAACCTCTTGCCTTCTAAGGTACAGAGCACAAACAAAAGAAAATATCTTTGAATGTGGTGGATAAGAAGGTGTGCCTTTCACATTTCATCTATCATTTCTTTCTCCTGATTTTTATTAAATACTTGTATAATGAAATGCTTCGGTTAGCTATTTCATACAGTTGACTCAGGGTAATCATGGTTAACACAGCCAAAAAGATGCCCAAAACCAGAAAGGTATATTCTGTGCTCTAATCCTGCTTCCTAAACTGCGATCCAGTCTAAAAAGGGAAATATGATTCTTCAAGCTACAACTAGTAGCCTCTAAATCATATAGTTGTTTTCCAACTAAGTATTTTCAAATGGCAAGAGAATACATCAATTTAAATAAAAAAGTTAAATAATAGATTTTGAACTTTAATTATTTCAGCAAGCAAATCCTAACTTAAATTACCAAGTTCAACCTTATTTTTTATTTGTATTTTTAATTTACTTACCTAAAAAATTCTAATTCCTATTGGTGGACAACTATTAAGAAACACTGATTTTTAACCATTACATCTGTAAACATTTATATAAGTAAGGGCACAGCTGATCTTACATTTATTCAGATAAATCATTCACCATTTTCTAACACAATAAAAAAAATTGACCTACTAAATTATAAACTTTTCCCTTCATGATTTGCCAAACTATGTATAAAAGCTGGAATTGATTAAAATGCACCAAAATAACATTTAAAAATGTTTTGCTTAGGTAAGTAAAACAATTTTAAGTGTGGAATTCATAAGAAGAAAAGTCTATCAAAACATGTTGGGCCTCTAAAATTAATTTACTGAACAAGGAAGTACTGATTGTAGTTAGTAAACTGAACAAACTTTTTCTGGTTATAATGTCCCTTTAAGATTTTAGGACAAGTATATTATGTTTTCTTGTATTTCTTTTTCATTCCTGATTCCTTATTCCTTTAATGTTATAAAGGCTAAAACATCAACTTTATCCCAAGCAAATCAGATCCAGCTAGTCAGAATATATAAGCAGTCCTTTCAAAAACTAGGAGCCATTTCAGCTTTCAAACTGAATCAAGTCCTGTCTGTTTTTTAAAATAGTTTTATTAGGTAGGTCATCTGCCTCAATTACAACCATCAAGAGGTCATCACTTAATAGATGAGTGATTCTTAATAAGGATGCCATGGAACCCTGGAGTGCTTCCAGATCCTTTCAAGGGTGCCATGGGCTGCCACACAGGCTAAGTACAGACAGCCAAACGCCAAAGCTGAATCGATTCAATCTTTGCAGGTTAGTTTAAGCTGTGCAGATTGAACAGATAAGCAAATGAACAGACATCATTCCTTTATGATTCCAGAAATGCAGCCACATGCCTGCAGTGGCTCAGGCTAGAAGCTTGGGAGTGCTGGGCTGGAGCAGACAGCTTGTGCCAAGGCTAGCCTGCCCACCATGAAAGGTGTGTGTGTGGGGGGGGTAGACAGGTGTTGCAGGAGACATGCAAAGCATCTTGGGATGCTGGGGAGGACTGTGAATTACTGTATTTCATGGTGTATAGGTTGACACAGTGCATAAGTCAACCCCATTTTTCTGATTCAAAAAGTTAGGAATTTTGTAGATCCAGTGTATAAGTCAACCTAACGTTCTGGATCAGAAAAATGGGAGTCAACTTATACTGGCCCCTGCGTGCCCTCACTGTGGGCTGGGTACCCAGAGAGTATATACGTGCCACAACACTACTAGGAGGGGACAGGGACGAGCTCAACGCTCGGGTGGCACAGCCTCGTCCTGAGAGTGGCACTGCCTAGGCTGCACCAGCTGAATGCCAAACCCGGCGCTGCTTGCAGGAGATAGGGCCGCGCCAGCTGAGCACCAAGCCTGGCCCTGTCTGCTGCAAGCAGCTCTCCTGAGCGCTAAGCCCAGCCCAAACCCCTGTAAGCTGCACTGGGCTCAGCGCTCAGCTGGCAAGGCCCCATCCTCTGAGAGCAGTGCTGCCTGGACTGTGCCAGCTGAGCACCAAGCCCAGCCTGGTTCACTGCAAGCGGCAGTGCAGAGCACCAAGCCCAGCCGCACAAGCCAAGTACCAAGCCTGATGCCACTCATAGGGGACAGGGCTGGACTCTATGCTCAACAGCGTCACCCACACCAGATAGGTCCAGGCTCAATGCTTGGCTGGCATGCCCCCACCCCTGTGAGCAGCACTGCCTGGACCATGCCAGCTGAGCCAGTGCTGTTCCCAAGGGACGGTGATGATATGGTATACAAATCAAGGTTGAATTTTAAGAGTTAAAAATTGGGCTTCAAAACTCAACTTACACACCATGAAATATGGTGACTTGAACCTGGAGGGGATCTAGGACAGAAGTTCAATAAACCAATTTAACCTAAATCAGTTAAGTCTGACCCATCCAGTTTTAACTTAAACTGGTTTTGGCCATATCGAAAGCGATTTATGTGCACTGATCTTCTGTTGTGTTACAGATTTGATTGAACTGGTTTCCGATGACTTATACTGGTTTGTGTGTAATTTCTGTCCCTAGCCAAAACATTAGCACAGTTAAGTGTGCAAATATGATTCACAAGATAAACCCGGAGCTTTCGTGTTTAAGTGCTGAAAACACTCTGACCTGGTGTGGGCTCTGAGTTCTTTGCAACAAAATAATTGCTCTATTATTTTTCTGCAGTCAAAAAAGAGTGAAAATGTAAGTTGGCATTTTCTAAAGGGTACCTTGAGTCCAAAAAGCTTGAGAACCACTGCTTTAGACATCAAGTATTTGTCTCTAACAGAAGAAGAGTAATTAATAAATATTCTTAACTCAGACATCTTCCCCTAAATATTTATTTTTAAAAACAGACATTAGCTTCATTCTACAATTTTTAGACTGCAGAACAATCTAATATGCTCTTCTCAGTTCATTTTTCTTTTTTGGACTGCTACATCCTTTAGTGCTATTTACCATCATTATAGTGAAAGAATTTAACAAATTACCTTCAGTATAATACTTTGCTTCTTTGTTTTTTTTCTTTTTAACCAGTTCTACTCTCCCATACCCAACAGGTTTATTTCTTCTTTTCCTATATTTCAAGCACTTCATTCTGAGCACTTGTGAAAAGTTGAATAAATACAGCTCTGAGAGAAAGTTCAATGTGATTGTTACAGTAAGGTTTGTTTACATTTAAACATTTTACAAACTTTACTGATGAAGGTGACATACAATTTATACTTTAAGCAACAAAAATAAATTAGAAGCATCACCTGTAATTGGAGCTTCAACTTCAATCATGGTTTTTTCTCTACGTAGAATTGCAGCACCTTCATTGATGATTCTAAGTGCAATTTCTTCATCTACCCGACCTTCTTTTATTAAGTGGTTCTTCAAAATATCAACCCTTGGTTTTCCATCTGTATCAAACACCTCCTCAGATGTCAAGCGATGTGTTGGCGGAAAAGGGACAGCTAAAATTCAAATAAGTGAGAAATATTAAAGTTAGTAATGATTTCTTACTTTAAACATGGCTGAATCTAGAAAGAGTAGAATTGAATTACTAGTAATTTAGTGCCACCCAAATAAACAAACAACCCACCAAATATGTTCTCTAAATCTACATAAATGATGCTATCACTGTGACAAAGTGGAATGTGTCCATTTAAAAATATTTTATCATCAGTGAAAAAGGGCACAATGAATGCACAAGCCTACACATGCCCAAGAATATACCTTATTGTACAGCATTCCAGACAGCTGCACTGCCCAGAAAACGAATCTGTTATCATGTTGAAGGACTGCCTCTAAGCCATCGCAAAGCATAATGAACTTCTGTCCCTCAACTACTGGTCCATACCCCCTGCAGAACAAAGGTCTCTACAGAGGAGGCCTCAAGAAAAGGTGAGCATGAGGTGTAGACTGAAGCATTTCAGTTTGAGCCCATGAGTCCATAGCAGCCTTAACAGTGGAGTCCTGCTTTTAGCAGGGTACCAATTATCACCACACGTACAAAAGATTCACGGGGGATGGACAGGAAGGTAGGATGGACCCTGCCCAGACTGAAACACCAACAAACCACAGACTTGCTGAAGGGATGCATTCAGCCTTTGCCCTGGGAGCCACAGGCACTGGCTGCATGTCTCCTACCCACCTGGCAACAGCGAGCTTTGCCTCCTGCCACTGTCCACAGCTGGCAGCTCACCTCCACCCTTGCGCTGCTCAGCTCCTAAAAGCATCTGGCGCTTAAAAATGGTGGTGGCAGCACCTGAACTAAAGCTCCAGTTACTCTTGTAGCCAGAGTTATGGTGGGAGCCGCAGCAACGCAAAAGCACAGATACTATAATTTAACCCTTGTGGGCCATATGTGGGCCACAAGCTGCCAACTGGACAATCTGAGTTATAAGCAGGGATCCAGGTTTTCTGCTTACTACAGAAAAATGCAGATTTTCCTCCTTAAAGCAGGAAAACTGCGGGTTTCCCCTTGCAAGCTAGCAAAGTTCCAGCCTGCAAGTTTTTCAGCAAAGAAAATGAAACACCACTATATATAAAGTAGCAGATGAATACAATGTTTTACTTGATATATTTACAATTTTAAAGCAGTTTGGAAGCCTACCAGTGCCTCAATCATTATAATAAAATACATTTTAAATAGCTATATACTTTGGCATTTGATTTTGGGTTTTTTAATCACTGAAAATCAGAGCTCCCGCCTGCCCCCTTTGCTCACTAGGATGTAGGTCCCTCTGCAGCTGTCCCCCCTGCTGCTTTGTGGCGTTAAGCAGTCCTGACATGCTGGTGCCCTGCGCCTGCCCATGTAATAGCTCCTCACTCTCAAGCCACAGCCCCCCAAGCCCTGCCAGTGCCCTTCATTCCTGACCTGCAGCCCCGATTGCTCCCCACTCACTCTCACCTGGCACCAGCTCCCCCCCTTCACCAGGTGGGTGTGGGGGGTAGGAGGTAGGTATATGGGGCAGGGGACGGGTGTGTGTGGGTGTAGGCAATGCCACTGGCAACACATCAAGGGGAGGGGCCTGAAAGGGTGCATGAGGGGAGGGCAGGGCAGGGCAGGGAGACTTGGTGCTGCCTCTGCTGCCAAGAGCCCCACACCAGCTGTGCTGCCATGGCTGCCAAGGTGAGGGACTCCCTGCCCACCACCACAGTGGGGGGGGGACACAACTTTGCACTGCCAACACTGCCACCCCTGCTGCTGCCAGGCAGGCAGGACGGTGCCTCACTTTGGTGGCCATGGCAGCACAGCTGGTATGGTGCTCCTGGTGGCAGCAGCACCAAGTCTCCCCACCCCACTCAACCCTCCCAGTCCTGGTCTTGCCTGCTGTGACATGGAA